GTTCGCAAAGGAACAGATTCCGAATATAGAGAAAGAGAGAGAGAGAGTCAAACAGTGCGTCAATGCAGTTGCGCAGAACGAGCGATCACGAATACAGGGAAAGGGAAAGACAAACGAATAGTGAGGCAATGCAGTCTCGTCGAGAGGCGGATTTGGAATATAGAGAAGGAGAAAGAGCGTCGAATTTGGAAGCGATGAGATTGCGCAGGGAAAGTAGTTGAGGATACGCACAAAGAGAAAGGGAGGCAAACTGCGAGGCAATGAGAGCGCGAAGAGAAGAGGATGCTATGTATGTTGAAAGAGAAAGGATTTCGAGCAGTTTCAGGATGAGGATTCGTCGGCAGACGGAAGAAAATAGAAGTTCTGAACGTGCGGTAAACGCGAATGCTATAAGAGTTCGACGAGATAGCCCGGAATTTAGAGAACGGGAAAGAGTGCTGAATTCCGAATCAATGAGAAACCGCAGGGATATTGATTCGCAATCTAGAGAATGGGAAAGGGAAGTGAGTTCTGAAGCTATAAGGATTCGCAGGGCTGTGGATTCGGAATTCAGAGAAAGGGAAAAGGAAGTGAATTCTGAAGCTATGATGACTCGCAGGGCTGCTGATTCAGAATTCAGAAAAAGGGGAAGAGAAGTGAATTCTGAAGCAATAAGAAATCGCAGAGATGCTGATGTGGATTTCAGAGAACGGGAAAGAGAAGTGAATTCAGAAGCAATGCGAAATCGTAGAGCTCCTGATCGAGAATTCAGAGAAAGGGATAGAGAGGCAAACAATGCAGCAATGCGAGTCCGGAGATCAGGTCGGGGAAGAGAAAGAGAGCGTCAAGAAAACGCCCTGCGAATGCAACGCCGAAGAGCCATGGTGGAGGTGCGAGCTCCAGAACGCATTAGGGATCGTGAAGCACGACAAGAGCAAAGAAACAGTTATGTTGTTGTTGTAATTATGTATAACAATGCAGTCAAGGAGGGTCCAACCCGGGTTTGCGTTTGTTGTGGTCGATTGGTATTCAAACGTTCTGTCGTAAAACTTATTAATTCAAAACTTTTGCATGCAAGCAATGAGAACCGAGCTCGGACGGACCTTATAAACTGTGTTTTTATTTGCATCACAACGATGAGGGGTCTTTTTGTTCGACTTGTGCTGAAAGCATTAGGCAGTGGAATCAGCCTCGTTACTGCCTTTCAAATGGGTTGGATTTCCCCTTGGTACCTGAAATGGTTAGTAATCTGACACGGTTAGAAGAGAGACTAGTAGCGGCTCGCCATATCTTCCAAACAATTTGGCCTTCATTTGGCTCCACTGGACAGTTTCGATGTAGGGGTGGCATTGTTGACGTCCCAGTTTCCGTAGATACAACAGTATCGATGCTACCTCGCCCTCCAACAGACGCTTATGTTGTGCACGTTCGCATAGCGCGACGGATGCAGTATAGAGGGAATTATATTCCTGGTAATGTTCGACCACATCTTGTGTGGGAAATTGCTAGGTATCTTTCTAATCAGCCGCTTTATCAGTCTCACAACATTAGAGTCTCAGACAACTGGCTGCAGCAGCATAACCAAGTAACGGTTGCAGATGTAAACATAGAACCGGAGGAATCGGAGGAAAATGAGGGCGTCGAAGAAGCAGAGCCTGTTAATCTGGGTGTTCAGGAGACCATGTTAATGACAGATAATAGTCAGTGCGGTATAAGGTTGGCACTAGCTGAAGGGCATAGGCCTCCTTCGCTTCTTTTGGACGAAGACACGGAATATTTATCATTCCCAACAATTTTTGGCGGTGAGAAATTGGAACCTACTTTTCAAGGCTGACCAATGTCGTATGCAGACATCTCCAAATCTTTTGTTATGCGTTACGATCGACGAATAGCGCGACGTCCCGATTATTTGCTTTTTATGGCGAAAAAGACCGAATTGCTCAGACTCTCCAATAATATGGCATTGTGCCTCCGGAAGAAAAGAATTCGTAATCCCAATGATATAAACGCGGCTAATCTCACCAATCACGATTTCATCCACGGGCTAGTGCAACACGATGACGCGTATCAAGTTCTCGCTGGCGTTCGAAACTCTTGTACGCATTGGCATATTGAGAAACAGAAGGTACTGGCAATGGTTAGATAGTTTGGGTTGCCAACATTGTTCCTAACTATTTCAGCGGCGGAGACGCAGTGGCCTGAACTGTTGTAGGTTTTAAAAAAAGTTGTAGACAATGAATCTGTCACTTCAGACGAAGCACTTGCCCTGCCGTACGCTGAAAAATCGTGACTAATTCAATCAGATCCAGTTACATGCGCCCGGTATTTCGATTATCGTTACAAGCAGCAAACAAAACTGTGGAGCCTAGCCGGAGATCCATTTGGAGGAAGGAATGTTACGCATTCATACTATAGAGTGGAATTTCAACAACGAGGGTCTCCCCATATACATCAACCTCTCTGGCTGGAGGATGCGCCTGGTTTTGACGTACTGACAGGATCGAATGAGCGCGAAGTGTGCGATTTTATAAATGGCATTATTGGATGTTCGTCTGTCATGAGCGATGCCGCGCAACAAGAATCACAGAACAGACCGCATTACATTCAATTCCAGCATCACAGGCGTGGGCGTATATGTCGCAAACATGGATCAGAGAAGTGCGGATTCGGGATCCCATTTTATCCAATGAGCCAAACTCACATTTTACAGCCACTACCCGAGACAGTCAATGTGAATGAGCGCCAATGTCTTGCCAGACAGCTGCAGCAAATAAAGGCTGCAGCTGTCTGGCAAGACATTGGCGAAAATTTAGACGGTCGGAGCTTCGACGAGTTTCTCGGTCTATGCCAAATTCCTGAGGAAGAATATTTGCTAGCAAATAGGCCTGAACTGCGAAGATGTAAAGTATTTTTGCGACGATCTCCTTCGGACATTATGATCAATCCATATTCCCCGAAAATTTTGGCAACTGTGAGATCCAACATGGATCTGCAGTATGTGCTCGATCCGTACGCATGCGCCTCCTATATTTGATTACATCAATAAGACCGATAGGGGAGTAAGCAGTACGATAGAAGATATAGTAAAAGAGCTGC